GACTCACAGGGAGAGAGATGGACTCACAGCCAGAGAGATGGACTTGCAGTCAGAGAGATGGACTCATGGGGAGAAAGATGGACTCACGGGGAGAGAGATGGACTCACAGCCAGAGAGATGGACTCATGGGGAGAGAGATCGACTCACAGTCAGAGAGAGGGACTCATGGGGAGAGAGATGGACTCACAAGGAGAGAGTTGGATTCACAGGAAAGAGATGGACTCACAGGGAGAGAGATGGACTCATTGGGAGAGATGGACTCCTAGGCAGAGAGATGGACTCACAGGAGAGAGATGGACTCACAGGAGAGAGATGGACTCACAGGAGAGAGATGGACTCACAGCTAGAGAGATGGACTCATTGGGAGAGATGGACTCACAGGAGAGAGATGGACTCACAGGAGAGAGATGGACTCACAGGAGAGAGATGGACTCACAGCCAGAGAGATGGACTCACAGGAGAGAGATGGACTCACAGGAGAGAGATGGACTCACAGGAGAGAGATGGACTCACAGTCAGAGAGATGGACTCACAGCCAGAGAGATGGACTCACAGGGAGAGAGATGGACTCATGGGGAGAGAGATGGACACACAGGAGAGAGACAGACTCACAGGCAGAGAGGCTGCAGGAATAGGGAGAAATGGACTCACAGGGAGAGATGGACTCACAGGCAGAGAGGCTGCAGGAACTGAGCACTTTAACTCACTGTGTTTCAGCCTAGTAAGAAGTGCAATTTTCCTGGAGTGCAGGTTGTAAGATAAAACCAGAGTTGAAATGATGGCTAAGACCAACTGTGGGGGACTTTTGAGTAGAAAAGAATTAGTGCCCAGGAGATCAAGTAAAGAACTCATGCAGAGACCCTGAAAGATAAAAGGGAATTCAGGGAGCACTGGACAGGTGAGCTGCTGAGCGCTGCCCCCGGGTTCTCACAGGGATCGGGGAGCACTGGACAGGTGAGCTGCTGAGCACTGCCCCCAGGTTCTCACAGGGATCGGGGAGCACTGGACAGGTGAGCTGCTGAGCGCTGCCCCCGGGTTCTCACAGCTTCGCTCAAGAGCATCTCTCCTAGAACATGGGTGGTAGGATTTCTCCACAAAATTTCAGCTGCCTATGTTTGGGGACTCTTTATCCTTCTGTGCGTAACACAAGGATGGGAAAGTGCTTAGGATGTACTTGATAACTGTCTCTTACGGATGCCATCAAGCAGCCCAGCCTATGAGGTCTCCAGATGGAATAACCAAGGCTCAGGGTTGCCATGGTTCAGTGATGGTCCCGGGGAGGGTCTGCAGGCACAGCCAGCTCCAAACTCAGGACTGTGAGAGGCACAGTGAGTACCGTGCCCACAGCGGTCCAGCACCTAAGGTGTTGAGGATCTGCAGGTGCCAATGGTCCCAGGGAGGGTCTGCAGGCACAGTGATGGTCCTGGGGAGGGTCTGCAGGCACAGTGATGGTCCCAGGGAGGGTCTGCAGGCACAGTGATGGTCCTGGGGAGGGTCTGCAGGCACAGTGATGGTCCCGGGGAGGGTCTGCAGGCACAGTGATGGTCCCGGGGAGGGTCTGCAGGCATGCCAATCATCTGTGCCTGCTTCCCAGCTAAAGGGACTTCCTGCAGGATAGCAAGGTGTGGAGTCATCACAGTCCCCAGATCAGGAGAGAAACTGCACTACTCCAACAGGTAACAACAGTGACAGGTCCAATATACTTTGGCCAGGGGTAAGCATGTCCCGTGGTGGGCAGCGGCCAACTGGCAGGCCCGCTCCCTTCCCTTGCCCTCCACAGCAGAGAACAGCTGAAAGCCTTCTCGTCCCCTGCAGACCCATCAGCAGTCTTCCGGGTGCTGCTCCCCATCACTCGGACCCTCAGCGTGGCATACAGCAGAGCGTCTGTCATCTCTGGCGTCTGCCAGTCACACCAGTGAAGGAGCAGGTGTCTAATGAGATCTGGTGTCCTCATCTGTGAAATGAGGCCACCACGGGTGTCTAGTGTGAGCCTCTGTGAGGGCACAGTTGCTCCCCCCGCAGGGTCTGCACTTACTCCCTGTTAAAACCTTTGTCTGGACAGAGGCCCTTCTTGGTAACTAGATCTTTGAAGTATACATGTGGGTTCCCCAAGAAAACAGAATCAACAGAGTTGATGTTACATGTCTGACTTTATATGCATGCACCCCTGACCGCACAGAGTCACACCACAGAACAGCATCCTGGTAAATGATGAATTTGATGAATTTGACGGGCAGTGGCCCTGTAAGATTAGAGGGGAGTTGAAAGATTCATATTGCCTGGCAAGGCTGGCGCCGCCCCGACACTGCAGCACAGCGCCTGTGTTTATGGTGACGCGAGTCACACGAGTAAGCAGCCCCGTGCATGTGGTGACGCGCAGACATCACACTCAGTGATGCTCACGACTGGCTGTGTCACTGGCTCACGTATTCACTGCACCATCACAGTTATTTTAGCATGTACCCCTTCTACTTATATCTTAAAAACATTAATTGTGAAACAGTCTCGGGCAGCTTCTCCAGGAGGTCTCCAGAAGAAGGCACAGGAGGTGACAGCTCCATGTGTGTCATCTCCCTGGAGACCTTCTGGAGGGACAAGAGGTAGAAGGCAGTGATGTCACTGATCCCACCCTGTGCAGCCATCGGCTAACATGTGTATTTGTGTGTTAGGGTTTAATAAAATAGTTTAAAACATCACAAAATAAAAAATGATACAAATTTTTAAAGCTCATTGAATAAGTATATTTAAAAAAGAAAATATTTTGTGTAGCTATACATCATGTTTGTGTTTTAAGTTAAGTGTTATTACAAGAGTCAAAAAGTTTGACCTGGGCACTCATAGTTCGATGATTAGAGCGCCAGCCCCCAGGCACTGGGGCTGGTGGGCTCGAGCCCAGCCTGGGCTTCTAAACAAAAAGGAAAAGAGTCAAAAAAAAAAATAGTAATAACAAGTTTATGAAGTGAAGTAGTTACAGTAACCCAAGGTTCATTTATTTTCAAAAACAGAAAAATATATTTTAATAAATTTAGTGTGGCCTAAGTGTACAGAATTTGTAAAGTCTCCGTGCACAGTGGTGCCCGTGGCCATCCCCTGTGCTCACCACTCCCTGACTCCAGGAGCAGCTTCCAGTCCCACAAGCTCTGTTATCATTTTTGCTGTGTTGGGGAATTTTTGGTATTTTTGCTGTGCCTTTTCTGTCTGGACATGTTTAAATATATAAATACATGCTAGAGTGTTGCAGCTGCCCCCAGCACCCATTATAGTAAGGTGCTGTGCAGGCTTGCAGCCTAGAGCACGAGACTGGACCACGTCCCCGTCCAGGTCTGCGTAGGGTCACTCTGAGATGCTCACACGATGACACCAATTTCATGATGCAGCCCCATGACCACGTGACATGTGACCATATGTGCATATATGTCTCTATAGATGGAGACAGAGCAAGATTTATTTTAAGGGACTGGCTCACAAGATTGCAGGGCTGGCAAATCTGAGTGTGTAGGGCAGGTGGTCTACAGATCTAGGAAAGAGGCAATGTTTCCGTCTTGAATCTGAATTCCACAGGGCACTGGGCTGGAAACTCAAGCAGGCTCCTTACGTGGCAGTCTTGAGGCAAAATTTCTTCTTCTTCTCTGGGAAACCTCAGTCCTTGCTGCTGAAGTTTTCAACCGAGTGGATGAAGTCACCCACGTGCTGGCAGGTCGTCCACCCTCCTAAAAGTCTACCGGTTCAAATGTTGATCCCATCCAAGAAATACCTTCATGGCAACACCTAGACTGGTGTTTGAACACCCAGCCCAGTTGACACACAAAACTCACCTCCCACCAAGGAGCTGGCGAGGCAGGGCCTATGTGACCGGAAGCCGTGAAAACTTCCCAAGTGGTGAACTCATTGTCAGACTTCCCTGGCAAGTTCCTCTCCACAGGGTCACCAGCTCATCTTTGAGGGCTGGTCAGCAAAATAAAAATGTAAGATAGTCCTTACCATTTTAAGATAGGAGGGCTCCTGAACTTGAGAGGATGGGCCCTGTGGAGATATATTTAAATCCACACTTAAAAAAACAACGCTGCAGCAGGAGGTTTTGCCTTTAGCCCTTCTGGATCGGGCAGTGCTAGCCGTGGACAGTGACCAGCTTCCAGGCCCAGCTGTGTTTGTCACGTCTCCAGAGCTGGGTCTTTGCTCTGTCACCCCAGGAAAAAACAGGACAGTGCTGGGGTCACAGGCCAACAAGGAAGTTATCGAGGACCATTTGTGGAGGAAAAAATCACCAGTCGGTGTTTGATGGAGCTCCTGAAATGTCTCCAAAAGAAAAGCAGGGATGTTAAACTTGGCTAATTAAATGAGCCAGGGATGCATAACAATGCTGGTTTATGATAGTGAATGTAGTTAATGAATGTTAACAAATTAACTCAATGTGAAATAATTTAATCTCTTCATAGCAAAGTGCCTAAATTATATGGGAGCTCAATAAATATTACTTGAATCAGAGTTCATTGCTAAACAGTCTGCCTTGCTACGTCGGATAACGTTTGCCAGACACTCTTAAAATTCAACTGACATAGGAAAGCTTCCAGAATGTTCTTTGACTCATGGTCGCTGTCCCTTCAGTATCTTAACAGTGTCTCTTCAACCTTTTGGCAACAGAGCCATGCTCTTCGTTTTAGGACCAGACAGGTGCCAGTGGGACCAAGGAAGAGCCAAGGTCACCTGCTGACGGGGGAGGGGCGGCCCACAGACGCTCGCTGAGGGGACATTTCTCTGCCCCACACCACTGCCCCCCATAACATAAAGCCCTTACCTAAAAAATATTTAGGTAATTAAATTACTTTAAACACAGAAATTTTTCCCCCAATGGAAACACAAAGAGAGATTCAGAATTATATGTGAGACGTAATTCCCTAAACCTGACTGTGTGGTTGTCTCTGTGAATGAATGCACTTAATTAATTCTTCCTCCTAGCTTCTTCCTCTTCCCCGACTGTAATCTATTTTCTTTCATCCCAGGGGCAACAGAAGGACAACAAAAGAAGGATCCAGTGATTTGAAATTCCAGAACTTCGCTCTACTGAAAAATAGGTCAGAATATTTACTTGTTTATTAACAGAGCAGTAAAAATTTTAGTTCTCTGGGGAAGAAGCCGACCGTCAGGCATAAACACATCTGCACACACAGAACTCGCTAAAGTGGCAGAATGGCCTTGCTGGAGGTGATCTTGGAGGTCACACAAAGACAAGGGTGCAGGCAAAGGGACCGGGCGGGGTCAAGCATCCCAGCTGTTGTGTGTCACAGACCTGGGCGGGAAACCCCCAGCCCCCTCAGCTTTGCAGGTCAGGCCTGTCCCCACCGGCCACCCGGGATACTAAGCAGCCGGAGAGGGAGCCACTGAACGGGAGGCTGCTGGGGAATGATGGGTCAAGTGATGGGTCAGGGGCCAGGGCACCGGCCCACCGTGGAGTCTCAGGGCAGGCAGACGAGATCCAGCGCCTACACCCTTCTTTTCTTTTGTCTTTCAGTAGAGCAAGGCATTTAAGGAGCAGTTATGGCATTAAAACTTGCACAGGCTCCTAAAAACACAGAGACAAAAAATGGAGTCCTGCCCTCCAGGGGCACACAGACCAGTGGAAGTCAGAAGGGAACCCTGACTTGATCAGGTTCCTGGCAAGTGAGCGAGCAAGTTGAACTCAAATTCAGTGGGGCCTTGGCCTGCCCTGGCCAGTGGGCTCATCTGGGACCTGCTGATGCTCAGAGCCCTGGAGAGGCTCTTCCACCCGACCCGCTACCTGCACCCCCCAGGACAGCCAAGGGCGCCTATGAGTTACACCGATTCTCACGTCCCAATTTGGTCCACTCAGTCAGTCCACCAAACGCCCTTCCGTCCCTACTGCACGCCCTGTGCTCAGAGCAGTCTTGGGTCCTACGATGTGCTAGAATCAATGTTGTTCCCAAGCAGTGAGTGAGTGAGTGAGTGAATACCCGCACGACACAGTACTTGAGGTATTTTTCAAAACCACTTTAAGCAAAGGAAAATTCGTGACTGTTCTCAGGCTTCTTCACTGTTTACATTAAATATATTTGAATAATGCATTTTGAGTTCATTTTTCTTATTTCTTGACAATAGCAAGAGATGTGAGATGGAAGGGTTAGAAGCCTTCCTTCAAATGGAGTGGGCTGAAGCAATTACATACATCAAAGTAATATTTACAGTTACATTTTAGGGGGAAAAAAAAGACAGACAGAGAAGAGCAGTGAGTTTTTCCAAAGCAAATTATTTCAGAATGTGTCATAGCATGATCAAGATGTATTAAAAAGAGCAGCAGACAATGTTTCTGCAGCCTGTTCCAAACCATTTATAAACCCCAATTTTTTTAATGTCATATACGTACAAATCTCTATACCACTGCGTATTTTATAATAAAAGTATTACATGAATATAAATTAGTATTAGAGATAGAAGATAAATTGAAATGTCTGAAAACTACATATTTGGGTCCACCATCTTTCTTTAATAACTATTAAGCCAATGAATTCTCACCCATAAAAATTATAATTATCAGCAGTTAACAAGGAAGATGAGGAGGAGCTACTGGTGGACGGCCCTGAAGCCAGAATGAGTCCACGGGGCCTAGATCTCAGCCTCACTGACCTGCAGCTTCTGTCCATTCTAGCTCCTCATATGCTTTAGAAACGGTATTTGAGGCCAGGCGCAGTGGCCCATACCTGTAATCCCAGCACTCCAGGAGGCCGAGATGGGCAGATCACTTGAACTCAGGAGTTAGAGAGCAGCCTGAGCAAGAGCGAGACCCAGTCTCCACTAAGAAATAGAAAAACTAGCTGAGCACCGTGGCTGGTGCCTATAGTCACAACTACACCAGAGGCTCAGGCAGGATGATGGCTTGAGCCCAGGAGTCTGAAGTTGCTGTGAGCAAGGCTGACGCCACAGCACTCTATCCAGAGTGACAGAGTGAAACTCTGTCTCAAAAAAAGAAAGTACGGTATTTGAAAAGCGGCGGCATTCACCACTGAATTCCCTGAACCTCTAGCAGGGCCTGTGTTTGGAAAGCAAGTCTGTCGCAAGTTCCTGTGTTGGTACAAGTGCTCCCAGCAGAGTCTGGGGCCACTGAGGTTGGAGAGCGCCGTTGGCGTGAGCATGGGCTGTGGTCCACACCCAATGGGGAATGTCTAACCCATTACCTGTCCTTAAAGTCACTGTACTGGGTACTGGGTAAATCATAGATGAACACACAGGCCCTGCCAGCAGGGTGTCCAGTCTGTGGTGAGGGCAGGACAGGGGTATGGGACAGGCCCTGTCAGCAGGACATCCAGTCTGCAGTGAGGGCAGGACGGGGTGTGGGACTCCAAAACCCTATGTATAATATTCCCTGAGGCCACACCATACACTGTGGCTGAAACAGACATAGGCCTGCAGGAACACAAGGGACACAGGACCTGTGAAGTGGATGGTTGGCCACGTTCACACTTCAGTGGAGGAGGAGCTAGGGTCCTCGTCCCTGCCCTTCCCAGGCCCCAGCCTCCTCCTGCTCTGCTGTGGACACCAGCAGTGTGATGCTCACTGTCAGACCCTCCCACTTAGTCACCCGCCAACTGGATTTTTCCTTCTGCCTCTGGCACCTGCAGCAACAGTTGATTCCAGGGGGACAAGGTGCAGGTGGCTGTAATAGCCCAGGGCCCATGAGAGCCAGCCCCACCCTCTGGAGATGGGGCCCCCTTCTATTTTGTGACAAGGAGGCCCTCTCCTGGGTCCCTCCAGCCAGGCAAGCCACAGCTGCCCATGTGCTCTCTTGACCGCCTGGTCTCACCCCAGTGGCCCTTCAGCTGCCCCAGGACCTTGCAGCACTAAGGTGCCTGTCACAGACACGTCTGCCCCTCTGGCCACCCCACTGGGGAGAGGGCAATGTGTCCTCCCAACAGATCTCACAAGTAGAGAACTTCACGGCAACCCCTTCACAGAGGCCGTGTCAAATGTGGTGATCAGGCAGCTGTCCACGGGAGCTCCGACGTAGGAGATGCCCATGAGCATTTGCTGGAGCGGGGGGAAGAAGAAGGGGAGATAAAGGCAGGACCTGCCAGGGCTGTACGGTGCTGATACCCTGGGATGCCGTTAGCTGGTGTCATAGTATCCAGAGCCTCGTCCAGTGCCTGAAACTAGTAGACACTTAAATAGACGAGAAAAGAAAGCTACCAGGGGAAGGATGGAGGGGAGAAGAGACGGAAGACGGAGGCCAAGTAAGGGAGGGCCGGAGGGGGCAGCAGGGATTTCAGAATCAGAGTTGTTCTGCTCACCGAGGCTAACAAGGTATAGCAAAGCCAGCCCGCCCCCCGACCCTCTGCCATGGAGTCCATTACAATACCAAACACCTTTTTTATTAAATCATAACTGTGTACATTAATGCATTTAATGTGATTATAAGTTTGTATACGGTTTGGAACGCTTACATCAAACTGGTTAACGTAGCCTTGACCTCAATTATTTGTGTGTTAAGACATTCATACTCTACTCACCATATGGAATTCCTGAAGAACACCAGATACTTTTGTTTCCATCGGTAACTTACATAAGAGGGATTGTAACTTACAAAGACCCGTTTTCCATCCTCGAAGAACTTGAAATCTAGTTGAGGAAAGAAAAAATAGTAAGGTTTAACAATAGGAGATTTAAATAATAAATTAGTACTCACCATCTTCTAGCTTCTTCACGTTTATTCTTAGAGCAAGAAATGCCGCAGGCGTCCAGAGGAGGGAGGAGCCAGGCAGGGCCGCTTCCCACGGAGGTGGGGTGGGCTCGGCCCCCCCGACAGCCCTTTGCAGGGAGCAGGGGTGGCACCAGACACTTCTCCAGGCTCCCCTCAGAGAGTTGCGTGCCCCCAATATTTTTATAACAATACTATAGATAAAAAGGACCCTTGAGAGCATCAGGAATGGCAATGAGAAAGAATGAAGCCCCATGTCACTTATTAAATGTGGGCCTTGGCCTGATTCCACACAGGCTGAATTGCATCTGCTTCAGAGCAATGTGCACTTGGGAGGTGCCCTGAGGTCTGTGAATTTAAGCTGTATGTATGTGTGCACAAGCTGAGTAGGCTCCAACTGCATGTTGGGCTCTCTGCTTGCCTTGCTGGGACAGGACAGGTCTGTGCACAGACCCAGATGGGTCTGCAGTGAGCCTCTGGGCCCTGCCACCCCTGGGACGCTCCCCTGCTCTGAGCAGCTCTGTGCACGGTGTGTGGTACTCACACAACACGCAGGGTGCACAGGCCTTAGGCTCTGCACTAGGCTCCTGGTCTCCCTCTGAGGAATTCTGAGCTTGACAACGTAGGTGCCAGGGACATGCCCAGCTGGAAAGAGGAGGGCAATGGTGGCCACATGGGCAGCAGTGTCCTCACTGCCTTGCCCCTGGACTCCATAAAGTCCAGTCCTTCCCTCCCCCATTAGTCCTGTGTGTGTCTGTGTCATTTTTCTGAGATGTAGCACTAAGCACCCTTGATCCACACGCCTGGCAAAGCCCGGCACAGCCTCCAGGATGGCATGGGCCTTGCTCTTCTGTCCCTCCAGCCTCTGCTCTCTGAGCTCACTGTGCATCTCCAAACCACAGTTGAGGCTGACGAGGGCCCTCCACCTCCACATGGCAGAGAGGAAGGAAGCTGAGACCGACTGTCCAGCAGGCTGGCCGGGACCCCAGGGCTAGCCTCAGTCCATCCACTTGTGAAATGAACGGGTTAGTTCCTCATCTGTGACGTCCACTCGGTGCTGGTCGCATCTGTAATAGCCCTGAGACTGAGATAAAGACACTTCCACCAAGAACTGCTGTGAGATTTGGGTGAAATCATTTTTGTGGCGCACTCAGTTGCCAGCGCCACACAGACATCCAAATAGAGGGAAGGCAGGAGTGAGTCTAGAAGCCTTAGACCCTTCTTCATCTCTCTCTAGACGTATCAGTTGTCTTTCCAAAGTCAGGAAATTTTATTCTAGAGTAGCCTTTCAATTTCAGGGGCAGAATTTGGAATGAAACATGGAGCTGAACCAGTTAATTGCAGAAGTCTGAGAAAAAGAAAAGCCTGGTGGTGTGAAGTCACCCTGATCACGCCCCACGGGCTTTGCTGTCGAATTCTGGTTAGTGCCTGGGGAGACCCAGAGAGGACTGGGTACCACACTCAGGGGGCGATGGGTTATTGGTCTCCGTGCTGGGAGCTTGACCCTGGAGACGGGGCCAAATCCCATCTCTATGGGACCGGAATAACACGCCATCCAAACTCTGTTCCCATGGATAAGTAGAGCACAAACCACACTGCCCACTCCATCAAATCCAGTTCTACCAGGCAGTGGGAGAGAGAATGTGTTTACTTTTGCATCCTTTAAAAATTAAAAATTATTAAGCCTAGTAAATTATTTAAAAGTATTAAAAATTAAAAATAATTCCAAATTAACAATCTGTATTTGTAATGAGCTTTAACTATTGAACACCACAGGCTTCCAAGGGGTCAGCGTCATCCATACCCAACTCTCTAAACTCCCTTGCCGGGCGCTGACACCTGCGTGTACACGCCAGAAACACAGGAGGAGACACGGGCTTCCCGCACACCCCAGCATGAAAGGAGCAGGGGTGAGGAGGTCGAGTGTGTGGCTGCCAAGCAGACGCCACAGCCTCGTCCTGTTCACACAGGTGGCCGTGTTACTGATGCCAGTGACAGAGGAAGCTGGGCACAGCCTCGTAGCGCCCTGGCAGGAGGCCCTGCTACCATAGGGGCCTCACTGAACACAGACGGAGCATATCTTCCCGGCGACATCCTTCACTAAGCACCCTCGGCTGTCAAGCTCTGAGCACTAACACAGGAGTCTTTCCAGACAGCTTGTCTGCTACTGGTGTTCAGACGATGTCCCTACCCCAGGCAGACAGAACTGTGGTGCTGGGGGCACTCGTGGGCCTCAGGAGACTGGTCCCCGCCTTGCTCTCTGCCCTCCCTGCTTTGTTCACCGGCACAGCGGGCTCAGCTGGAATAACAAGCCTGGCCCTGCTCTGCTGACGCTTCCTCTGCTGACTCCCTTGGCCACCACTGACGCAGGAGAGCCCTGGGGAGCGTGACCCCGGGGATGCGACGCGTGAATGAGCAGCGTCAGTTGGGCCCCACCGGCAGGGACAGTGGATCAGATAAGCCACTTTCAGACAATTGGGAGGAAGCGCCCAGATGCGGAGAGCTGGGCAATCCCCAGGCTTATAAATAAGAAGGGATTTAGAGCTGGACAATGCCAGCCCCGCCAGTCACCCATGTGCTGCTCCAGACAAGGTGCTGCCCCTTCTCAGTCACATCTGCAAAGTGGAGGTGGAAATGCCCACCCCGCAATATCCGTGCCGTGAGCCTGTGCGTCACCTCCACAAGCTGCCTCCCACCCCTTCACTTGCTGTGTGTGTGTGATGAAAACACGATGTAAGATTTACCCTCTTGTGCAACATTAAATGTTCAATAAGGATTGTTAGTGGCAGGCGCTGTGCTGCCCAGTAGACGTCTAGGACCTACTTAGCTTCTATGACCAAAGCTCTGCTCCCTTTGCCTAACAGCCCCCCCTTTTTTCTTCCCCCAGCCCTGGGCAGCGGCTCCTCCACTCTGCTTCCGGGAGTTGGACTGTTTCAGATTTATCATAAAAGTGGCATCATGAAATATTTTTCCATTCACAGGTCTCTGTGGATCTCCAAACTCACCTAGTTGTAGATGTTTAGCTTTCTGTAGGTTAAAATAATTAAATTAAAAAATTTGAACTGGAAAAAATAAATAAATTGTGAGAATAAACATAAATAAGTGGGTTGAACTAACCCATAAAAATAAAATGCCCAGCAGCGTTGAACCTGGCTCAGGGCCTGAACAGGTGCCTGGAGATGCTGACTCTTCCCTCTCCTCTCTGGACCCCGCTGTTTAGATGTCAGATGACCTTGGCTCTGCCTTGGAGATTCGGAGACTTGGTTAGAATGATGCTCCATCAAGTCTAGGCTTATTTACCCTATTTAGGAGACCAGTGAGTGGGACCGCAAGTTTCCAATATGCCTTCGAGCGTGAAGCCTTTGATTCTAAAATCCAGATAAGGCCAACGTCAGAAAAAGGCTGAACCCTAATTTAAAAGCCGAAGCTCTTTCTGGGATCCCAGGAAGAGTTGGCCTCACTGTTTCCCAGGCTCGGGTCAGCATGCTGCCTGCGTTGGGACGGCTGCCTCGGACCTCAGGGACGACATGGCACCCTCACACTGAGCTCACCGCACACACACGCAGCATCTTCACTCCCCCGTCATGAGTCGCAAGTCTGAGGAGCCTTTTGCAGCCTCAATGAAAGGCCAAGATGTCAGAGAAGAGACCACACATCTCACGTGTCGAGAGAGTGCTCCCTATGGCAACCTGTTTGGAAGGCAGCCTGGAGAACCCTCAAAGAACTCCAGCTAGACCTCCCACCTAATCCTGCAATCAAAAAATCCTTTCTACCACAGGAACATTTGCACTAGACTGTTTACTGCAGCTCAATTTACAATCACCAAAATGTGGAAACAGCCTAAATGCCCCCCAACCCAGGAATGGATTAACAAGCTGTGGTATATGTACACCATGGAATACTACTCAGCCATTAAAAAAGATGGAGACTTTACATCTTTTGTATTAACCTGGACAGAAGTGGAGCACATTATTCTTAGTAAAGCATCACAAAAATAGAGAAACAAAAATCCTATGTACTCAATTCTGATATGAGGACAATTAAGGTCCAGTACACAGTGGAGATGGGGGGTGGGGAGAGCTGAGAAAGGGAAGGAGGGAGAGGGTGGGGGGACAAGGGGTGTGGGACACCTTTTAGAGGCAGGACACCATTATAAGAGGGTCCTTATCTAACAAAAGCAATCAGTGTAACCTGGTTCTGTGTACCCTCAGTGAAACCCCAACAATAAAAAAAAGAGAGAGAGGGAGAGAGCTCCCGGGCCCTGGTTGTGTGGCCTGCTCCTCCTGGCTGAAGTGCGGCCAACTTCTGCAGGGCAACCTGAAAGGACCCTGCTGCTACCACAAGGGGTCTGCAGCCGCAGCTGCCCAGTGCCTCCAAAGCCCACCTGGTCACATCCAATAGGCCCAGGGCAGAGAACACAGCAAGGATCCGTGAGGCAGGTAGGCTGTGCCAACCCCCTCCCTCTCAGTGGCTCTGTGCACTGGTCGGGTGTGGAGCTTTCTAAATGCCCCATGCCCTCTTCTGAGCCAGTAACCGCTTCCCCCGTGGGCATTCTGAGGATGAATCTGTTGAACAGAAGGCAAAGAGTGGCCCAGAAGCGGGAGTGTGAATTGGGGTCTCCTGGTTACCAGCATCTGGCTGCTGAAGCAATTCTGTGCCCAGCATCCCAGCCACGGAGAGAGGCCACATAAATATTTACACCCAGCGTGCGTTGCGATGCTCAGGTAATTGCTCCTGTGACGCACATGGAGAGCCTCGGAGGGCAGGTGTCGTGCGAGGGCCGGGGATGATTAAAGACACAAACAAGTCGGCTGGTGGAAGCTGCAACCTGCGGAACTTTCTGCTGCCTTGGGGCTTCTCATGTCACTGACCACAATCCAGGGAACATGCACTTCCAAAAGCACGTTCCTGGGGGACGTGGCGGCTTCTTCCAAGACCAGGTGGGAAAAGGGACAACTCACCAAAGCGGAAACACAGATGGCCCCGCGTTTCGGGGAAAAAACCTCCAATCTTATTAGACATCAAGGAAGGGAAAGGGGTAAAATAAGACACCAAGGGGCAGGTGGGCCGTGTGGCTGGAAGGGAAGATTCCCTGGGGACACAGACGGCCTCTTCACAGACGGCTCTGTAGACAGTGTGAACTAAAAATTTGTGCCTGCCTCTCAATGTGAAATAAATACAAAAAACATAAATAAACAACGATCTGAATTAATATGGATCGTTATTTACAAGAGTTAAAACTAGCAAGCACTTGAATGGTCCTTCCAAATCTTTGAAGACTATTTAAAGATACAGAATGTGTCTGTGACATCAGAAGCCTATACGTTCTTCTGACATATCATTTTACGCACCCACATTTAAATGTATGCACATCTTTATACACATACACATGTCTGTACAGGAAAGTCACCGAAAGATAACCTGAGCTGTTGACTTTTGTTTTCTCCTACAAGCTTTTTTCTGTCTCCTGTATTCTCTATAAAAACACATCACTTCAGGTCTATGATAACACACATCGGGGGTTTACATCAATTGTCAGGGCGGCGTTTGAGGAGCACCTGCCGGTGGGAGGCAGGTGCACTCCGGGCAGCTGATACTCACCTTGGTTCTCTTTTTCTTTCCTAGGTCCTGGCCGCGCCTCAGCAGTGCCACAGGTGAGTCAGGGCCCTGCCGTCCCAGCCCTGGGAAGCTCAGCACCAGCCTCTGGGGCTCTTCACATTCTTTTCATGTTACTTTTGTTTGACTTTTCATAAAACAATAGGCATTTTTGAAATGGTAGTCGTCGCTCATAACCCTTCTCCCCAGCTGCTCCCAGGGTCTATGACTGGAGAGCGTTGGAGGCTGGCAGGTGAGGGGGGAATCCCAGCTCTCAGCCTGAGTTTCTCCATCCGTGAAATGGGTGTGCATCTGCCTCGGTGCTGGTGTGGTGGCTGCTCACTGATGTTCAGTCAGCTACTCTATATGGGTGACTTTCCACCCATGTGCTGTGACAGGATCCTATGAGTGCTGCAACATGTTTAAAAGATCATTAATTCATTTATTTTCAAAAGAAGGTCAAAGCACGGGACATATACTGTCGTATTCACTTTTTATTGATCAACATAATTTAAGTGTGCCACTGAAGTTTAACAGTCAGTTCAGGTGTGGCAGGAGAGGAAAGGGTTGAAACCCACTGCTCTGTATACTAGGGTTTCCCGAAACGGGTGGAGTGAAAGGAGGTCCAGAAGCCCCATTTTACACTTCTCTGTGTCTCAGAGCCGATTTCCTGGTACTGGGTACTTCGTAGGGGCCCATTCAAGTTTGGGTAAAAGTATGTGCCATCTGTCTTCAAAGGTTGTTATTCCAGGGAAAGTCTATAGATCAAGCTGGTGGCTCAATACTATGACAGAAATGAGACAGAAAAATTAAGAAAGAGTCCAGAGGAAGTGTGCAGGAAGTGCTGACATCACAGGAAGCTGTGAAGTCAGCAAGTGACTCTGGAAGGTTGGCGGCAGCCCAGGTCAGGGGGAGGATAACAGGCGCTGGGCGCAGCCCACCCAGCAGTGGGAACTCAGCAAAATCAGAAGCGAATCGTGAAGTCCAAGTTTAACCGGAATGAGCCCCCAGCTCATTAAAGTCCCCAGTGGGGCCTGCCGGAGGCTGTGTTCTCTCAAGGAAGGCGCCTCCTAAGCGCTGCACTCCTTGCCCTCAAGCAGACTCTCCCACCAGCTGACCCCCTTCCCTCCTGTATCCACTGAGTCCTGCAGGATCTAGAAAATTCTAAGGGGCGCAGCGCCCGGGACCACGGTTGCTTATCTGACACAGTGGCTGGTGAATTATAAACCATGTGGGCAAAACAGAGCAGCCACTCTGCCTGTGCCCTGCCCCTCACGTGTGCTCCCGGCCTTGTCGAAAGAGAACTGACAGGGGGGCCTCCCGTTTCACTGACAGCTTTCCAGAGACACAGCAGGGAAAGAAAACAAATCAACCCCCCCAAATGTCAGTTGAGATAAAGCTGCCAGGGCCGGCCTATACACACGGGAATCTGCGCCCTGGCGGCAAAGCAGGCGGCCCAGCCTGAGTGAGCCCGTGGACCAGCACAGTGCGTGCAGAGTGCGTGCGGCTGCACCCGCGTGATGAGGGGAGGGTTCTCACGCCAGGGTGCTCCTCACAGCTGCCTAGAATGTTCCTAGCTGCTTCAGCTGGCTCCATCTTCTACCATGGGACTATTTAAAAATAGGGTAGGCCGTCCACGTGAGAAAATACTGTATCACCATCAAAACACGATGACGGGAGAGCTCATTCACTGCCGTGGATAGGCTAAAATGTGATTTGGGGGAAAGACAAAAAAGCAGTACGCGAGGTGTGACGTATAATATAGATTGTGTGCATGTGTGTGTGTGTGCATATGTATGTGTGTGCATGTGTGTGTGTAGTGTGTATGCATGTGCATAAATGTGTGTGCATACATATAGTGTGTATGCTTGTGTGTATGTGTGTGTGCATGTGAGTGTATGTGTGTATGTAGTGTGCGTGCATGTGTGTATGTATTTAGTGTATGTGTATATGTAGTATGTGTGTATATATGGTGTGTTTGTATATACTGTGTGTGAATGTGTATATATAGTATGTGTGTGTGTGTCTGTGTGTGTGCACATGCTGTGTATACACAGTGTGTGTGTGTATAGTGTGTGTGTGTGCACCTGTGTATACATGTATGTGTGTATATGGCATGTGTGCACACGCCCATGTATACATCATGTGTGAGTGTGTATATATAGTGTGTGTGCACACGCCCATGTATACATCGTGTGTGTGTATATAGTGTGTGCACACGCCCATGTATACATCGTGTGTGTGTATAGTGTGTGCACACGCCCATGTATACATCGTGTGTGTATATATATAGTGTGTGCACACGCCCATGTATACATCATGTGTGAGTGTGTATATATAGTGTGTGCACACGCCCATGTATACATCGTGCATGAGTGTGTATATATAGTGTGTGTGCACACGCCCATGTATACATCGTGCGTGTGTATATAGTGTGTGTGCACACGCCCATGTATACATCATGTGTGAGTGTGTATATATTGTGTGTGCACACGCCTATGTATACATCGTGTGTGTGTGTATAGTGTGTGCACACGCCCATGTATACATCGTGTGTGTGTATATATAGTGTGTGTGCACACGCCCATGTATACATCGTGTGTGAGTGTGTGTATATATAGTGTGTGAGCACACGCCCGTGTATACATCGTGTGTGAGTGTGTATATATAGTGTGTGCACACACGCCCGTGTATACATCGTGTGTGAGTGTGTGTATATATAGTGTGTGCACACACGCCCGTGTTTACATCATGTGTGAGTGTGTATATATAGTGTGTGTGCACTCCCCCGTGTATCTGTACATACAGAGTGTGTGTGTGTGAGTGATTTGGCCATAATCAAATACTTACAGTGCTTGTCTTGGTACGTGGCATTATCGTGATTTTTATTCTCTTCTTTTTTGTATATCCCATAATCTCCTTCAGTAGCATATAGTTTATTAAACTAGAAACTATCCTAAGGAAAACACTCCAGGCCTGGAGGAGACAGACATGAACTCAAACTGGGGCACCCGCCCATGCCCAGACCTCTCGGAGGCTTAGAGCAGGGCAATGTCTTTCCACAGAATAAACTCCTAAGTTCTTCTCTTTCCTCTGAATAAAGAATAAAATTGGAAGAAGATGGTCTTATTTAGAAAGTGGGCCCATCTGCCTGACGTCACTGTACACAATAAAACCCTAATAAAAATAGATACTGGCTGATTCAAATAAATAGACAAGCAATTTCATTTTGTCCAAATATATACATATATATATGTGTGTATATATATATTTTTTTGGAACGCAGTCTTGAAGGTTGATTTTTTTTTCTCCTTTTAGGAGGAAAGTGAAGTCCCACTAAAAACCCTCCCTCCCACATTGTATATCAAATAGGCACATTGTACCCCATAAATGCATTAATGTACACAGTTATGATTTAATAAAAAATTTTTTTCAAATCAAAAAATGAATAAAAATAAAATAAAAGTGAGCGAGGGTCGGGGCTGCGGGCGGAGGCGGCACAGCACGTGCGTGCCTCTGGCGCCCCCTGCCGCCGCCTCCGGGTGTCGCGCCCGCTGTGCTCGGCAGAGGCGGGGTCCGCGGGGTCCGCGGGGTCCTCCCGGAGGGCGGGGATCTTGCGGGACAGAGGCAGATACACATTGACAGTTGAATTGCTGGGATGAGGTGTTTGCCCAGTTCTTATAAAAGCAAGTCATGATTTCAAATCATCCCAGGACTGGTAAACCCGAGGAGGAACGCCTGTCTTCAAGACTCAGTGTATGAGAATCAGAACCAGCCCTGGATCAGCCTCGGCGGAGAGGGAGGGAGGGAGGGACCCGGACCAGGACCAGGACCAGGACCGTCCATCCCTCCTGAATCTCTGCGGGGCACCCAGGAAGGGGACAGGAGACGGCTGCCTTCCCTATGGCATTCATTCATTCACTCATCCACACATTCATTCATTCATTCATTCATCCACTTTGCAGTCGGTTCACATAACCAGCTTTAGGCACTGATTTTTTTCTTTAAAAGAAGAAAATTAAAACGAAAGATCCTGGAGACACAGCTTCTGAGTGTGAAACGCCGTCCTTTTCCAATGAGGAAGTTAAGAGCTAGAGCAGGGAAGTGAATTTCCAGGGCCACCTGGTGAAACATTAGCCTGCTCTTCAAACTCCCATTCAGTGTTTCCTGGGTAGCTATTTCTGTGAGTTCGGACTATTTGTGGCTCGAATTTTTTTTTTTTAATCATAGAGCTTATTAGTATCATTTATTTCAAGAGACCTTTGTGGCATTCCTTAGGAAATACTTCCTTCCTCATACAAAAGGGGTGTTGAACAATTCTCACATTGATCTCATGTCTTTTCTTCACACTTATGTGACTTGAAATTATTAGCTCCTAACAATTAAGACACCAAAACACCCAGGGAGACAGAGTTACTCTCTGTCCCCTGTGTATATCTGTACACAGTGACTTAATGACAAGGACACATCCTGGGAAATGTGTCATTAGGCAGGTCCATTGTGCAAGCCTCTTAGTGTGCTGACAGAAACCCGGATGGTCTAGCCTACTACATACGTAGGCTGTGTGGTCTAGCCTGGTGCTCCTGAGCCACAAAACTGTACAGCAGGTGACTGCACTGGACAGTGTAGGCAAATGTAACACAGTGGTGATATTTGTGTATCTAGACACAGAAAAAGGACAGTAAAAACACAGTACAAAAGATTGAAAGAGTACACTGGTAGAGATGCCTGCCATACTAGAAGCTTCTCTGGTTGAGTCAGTGAGTGGTGCGTAAATATGAAGGCTTGGGACACCACTGGGCATCTGGACTACGCTAAATTTATTAAAATATATTTTCTTTTTCCTATAATAAATTAACCTTAGCCCACTGTAACTACTTTTTACTTCGTTAACGCTTTAACCTTTTGACACTTTTGCAATAGCCCAGCTTAAAACACAAACACGCCGCCCAGCTCTGCACACTATTTTCTTCCTATTCTCCTTCCACACGTTTTTAAATATTTTTTGTATGTTTTCCTTTTTTAACTTTTTAATGTTTGTCGTTGTTAAAAACTAAGA